ATTCTTTTTAAACTTGTTAAAGATTCTAGATATTCCTAGTAGATTTGCCTCAGATTTCAACTTTTTACTATGACACATACTTCACACTTCGTTTTTAAACAGTTGGCCGCCCATTAGAGTTTTTGTTTTATACGAAATATGAGCTTCCCAGAATCAAACAACATACTTCATTAGTTTCTTCTTTTCATATACTTTAAAAAATTATGACAAAAAATTCTATAAAACTGATATATAAAAGTTATAGGTCATTGGGCCTATAATAAATTTTATTAAAGGCGCAGAATTCGAAATCACATAAAAATTATGAAAAAAGTTTAAATTTTTTTTTGTAAATTTAAATTATAAATTTTGTAAATTTATAAATGTATAAATTTTTTAATTTTGACCATTAATAAAACCCAAAAACAAAATTTATAATTTTAAGTGTAAGCAATGAATAAATAGATGATAATAATATTAATGAAATAATAGAAAGAAGTACAAATGAACAAATAAATAATGGGCTGGTGGCCTCATCATTACTTCTGACTAAAATTCTGGTCTGGTAGCGGCCTTACCAAGAATAATGTACGCTTTTTAGGAAAAAAATTACTTTGCTTTGTGTCTTTTCTTGGCTTAGTTTTTTTTGTTTTCTTTGGATTCGATAATTTTAAATTGGTACTTGCAAATAAATTTTTTTATTTCAATTATTCAGTCGTTTTTATTTAGATTTATTCTCATTAATTCAATTAAATATTAAATATTTATATGTCCATTTAAATATCCGACGATAATAACACTAAATACATAATAATAATACATCTAATACATAATAATAATGTAATAAATATAATACATAATAACAAAAATAGTGGTGACAACGGCAATGATAATGATGATAATGATAATATATTCGGATAATGATTCACTTCTCTCAATGATGAATCTTGAAAATTTTTTTTTTTTCATTATGATAATTCGTCTATTTTTAATCATTTTTTTGAAATAATTTATAAATTTTTCTTAAATTTAAGATTATTTTTCAAAACTTTATCAGCCTAAAATATTCGTTGATGAATAAATAATTTTTTATACAACAAATAGAAATAAAATCGTAAAATATCGAAAAATAATCGAAGAGGCAAATTTTAAACTATTTTACCATCTTTTATCCTTCAACATTTCTTTTTCTTTTAGAAAGATATAATTATCGAAATTTTACGAAAATTAGCGGTATTTCAAATGTTAGTGATATAAAAAACAAATAAAAATCCGAGAAAATTCTCCAAATACAAGAAATCTCAAACAATTAACCCCAAATAGCAATCATTTCCGATATGATTGATTCCACTGACTTTTAGTGCACTTCGTCATGAGACAATTGCTTATAAATCTAAAGAGATCTCCCCTCGGATTTCATTTTTAATGATACGCAGGTTTCATTCGTCTAAAGAAAACAAAACTATTCGTTTTATTTGCCTTTCCCTCGAATTGAAATTTTTTCGGATCCAATTCACTGTAAATTCTAAACTCTATAATCGACTTATTTCTATAAATAATTTTTTTACTCCATTAAAAATAAAATTTGGGAAATCAAAAAGAAAAAAAATGATTTATTAAAGTAAAAATTTAAAAAAACAGATCTAACTTTTTTGTTGTAATTTTTTAAATTATTTCTCATTTTAATTTAATATTAAAAATGAATAAAATTATTTTTATTCCACGTTTTAAAAAGCGAAAACCATTTGCTTTTTCTTTTGATTTCGACAAATTAAATTCAAATTTTGTGAATTTAAGCGTTAGTTTAAATCAAAATTTAATAATTTAATCAAAACATCAATCATTCATCGTTGTTTTTATGCGATTTCTTTTCAGGCATTTCTAATTTCTTTTTTTTATACGAATTATTCGGAAGTTTTGATTTTACGTGAAATTTAATGAAGAAAATGTGAAAAATACTCTTTTTTAATGAAAATATTTTTTTTGCTTCGTCACAACCTTTTTTCTAACTTTAGAGGATTGAATTTCTCAGTGGATTGCTGTTGTTCTCATTTTGGAGCGCCGATATTGCTAATCTGACAAGAGCAAATCTGTTTTTCAAAAATCTTAGTGATAATTGGCCAGTCACATGTATTTTTATCGCCAAATGGCTCATTGGCAAAATTAGTTTGGTCGGACAAACCAGCCTACAGAAATGGTGAACGCTCTTGAAAAGGAAAATTGAACATTTTGTATTTACATGTGAAGAATTAGTTCATCTTCGATTGACGCCCCTTAATAATTAAGCTTATCACTAAAATAGATAATTAAAATAGGTAATGGAATGCTCAATGTTGCTTCTACTCTAAGTGATTTTTTAAAAATCTCTTGCTTAATAAATTAATTTATTTTTGATTAATTGATATTACTCATAATAAATCCTTTAATAATAATATGAACAAACAATTTTAACCATATTTTTTAAATATATTTTTTAAATATATTTTTATATATATACTTTTAAAAATATATATTTTTTTAATAAAAATATTCTTGACAACTTTTTTTAAAAAAATGGAAAATAGGCAATATGGTTGAATTATATTTAGTGAAATAAAAAGAAAAATATGAGAAAATTTTTTAAAATTAAGTTTAAAATAATTTAAAATTTTCTATATTAGTTGGTCATTGTAATAAAAAAAATTAAAAATTAAGAAAAAAATTTTTTTAAAAATATTGGATTTCTTCGTTTCTTTAATATTACCTTATTAAATTATTATCCTATTTTTCTTTATACTTTACGATTCCCGTTTTAGATAATCAAAATAGCAGATTTCCTCTTTCATTAAAATTGAAAGCCTAACTTTTTGCGGTATGTTGATTCTTGAAGATATTCGATAAATACTGCAAATATTGCTGCTCATTTTTGCAGAAAATTCGATAAATGTTGCCTATTTTTGCAGAAAATAAATCTTTGGTAAGTTGATAATTTTTTATTTTCCTATTGAATAAATAGTTCGCAAATAAAGGTAGAAATCTTGAATTTAATGAAAGTTTTAAAGCACTAAAAATTTGTAATTTTATGGTCCTTAAAATAATATTTTAGGAATTTTATTTGATTAGCCGTTTTTTTCTGAAAATTTACCATTTTTATTTCTGCTAATTTATCGGATCAGACAAATTTTTTCATTAAGAGAGTCATTTGGCGACAGAAATAAATCGCTAGCACTACTTCTATTAGGAGTAAAGGTGCATCGAGAGTCGTTGTTGAAAGCAACAAACCACTGAGCCCTTCAGCGTTAACAATACCTCAATCGTTCCTTGTATAATTTGCTAAAAGCTGAGGTTTTCTAAAATTTTTCTCGACGCCCACGGCCATGAGAAAGTAATTTGCCCCTCCTCTATATATTATTTTTATCATTTTTTTTTCGCTTTATGACTTAAGAGTTAGTTAGTTATTAAACTTAGGTTTATCTCCCAAGAGACAGATCGAGTGGGCAAGTAGGTTATTTTGGAGAAACAAGGGTTCGTCTCCTATCCTCAACAGGAGTAAAAAATCCGAATGGTGTTGGCAGTTTCTATCGTTAATTGATAGAAATTGACAGAAATTTTACAATTCTATTAATTCTGTTAAATCCAGTGGAGTTTGGCAGAAACTGCGGCCACTATAAATGCAAAATTTTTTTACAAACATATGCTCCCAATACTAAAGACTCTTCTTTTTTAAGACATTGTTCTCATTTTTTTTTCTAGCGACATTTCTGCTTTAGCTGAATTCTTCTTTTAACACCTCTCACTATTACTGGTTAAGATGGCTCCGCTGGATACAGCGATAAGACGTCTCCAAGCTGCTCGGTCGCCATATAGTAGTAATAAAAGCCATTTCTTTTCCATCGTCTAAGTCCATATATCGCTGGTCCTCCTATATGTTCAAAATCTGTATCAGTCCAGATCTTGACTGGACCTCCTCACTTTTGATGCCAACCATCACATAGTATAGCAAGTAACGAAATGCGCCACATTCTGTAGTGGGCGACGAACAACTGCCCTAATTGGCAAAAGCGATGTGATAGCATTGTTAAAATAGATGGTATTTAAGCGAAGATGAATACAAGCATGTGCGTTTATCCGTTCGACGGATCCGTAAAATGTATCTTAGAGACATGAGTGGTCAAAGGCTAATAGTTTCTATATCTTCCACTCTTATTGGTCATGTTTCACACCATCATAAAGGTTTCATCAACCGGAAAAACATATTTCTAGCTGTCATTATCCAGATTTCAATTTCATCCTTTGCCTGGCCATTTGGGATTAGAGTGGATCCAAGGTATTTATTCCTCAACCGTTAATATTGATAAAAATTTTCATCAGAATCTTGTATATAAGACGAAAAAACCTTTCGTTTTATTTACGTTGATTTTGAGTCCAATTCTCGCTACAGTTGTTGAAACTCTGTTTAATATTATTTGCATTTCCTTATAACTGTCAGCAAAAAGGATTACATCATCAACATATTTAAGGTCTGTGATCTGACTGCTAAGATATAATCTTTTCGTCAGATAAGTAATTGGCAGTTTTCATTAGCCACCCAAATTTCATCTTTATTGATAGTTTAAGAGAAACTAATCGAATTGCTTGAACAAAATCAAAGAATATGGTTACCTGTTCAATGCATATTTAACCACATGCATATCTGAAGTATATTATGATTTAAAGAAATGAAATAATTTACTTACTTACTTAGATTCAGGAATATGATAGTATCCTATTTCTTTCTGGTTGAAGTTTTATTCGGCATTGAACTTCTTTCTATTTTATGAGACCTTATTTATTTTCAAATACCATTTACCATTTTTAAGGTTCCTAATTTTACCATTTTTAAGGTTTCTAATTTTCTTATTAATTTTGAATTATTTGGATTGAAATATTATGCGAATAATTTCGTGTGTATGAACCATTAATCTTCAACATTTTATCAAAGCAAATTATTTTCACACAATTTTTTTAACGAATGAAACGTGTCGATTGAAAAGTTTTCGACGATGGCAATCGTTGGACAATATTTGTTGAAATTTTTTAATGGAAAAATTTCAAGGATTCAGGTTCTCTTCTTTTATTATATTTTCCTTAGAATTTTTTTTTGATAAAATCGCAAAACAACCTTCAAAAAAGAACTGAATTTTAAGCTGTTAATTGTGCATTAACCACGTAGGGCTTTCAACCAAGTCGTATAAAATTTAAACCTTGCATCCATCCTTTGCTTAACGGAGTGGAAAAATTTTGAGGGAAAGGAGGGAATTGGCGATCGAAATACAATAGGGCCAACGACACCTACCGAACTTGGTGAAATTGAAACCCCAGTAGCGGCGTTCCCAAAACCGAAGAAAAAATGCATTGTGTCATTCCATCTCTCCTTGATATTGCAAATATTTTAATGAAACCATTTCAGAGAGCCAAACCGATAACACTTCATATATCACTTTTATTTTTTATTCTCGTGTATGCGTTTATTGGTGGGTTAATATTCAGTAAACTTGAAAGCGATGCTCTCGATAGGCAGCAAAAAGAAAAAATCGCTAGGCGAATTTCTTGCGCTAAAAAGGTTTTTTTTGTCAAATTTTATCAATATTGATGAGCTATAGCTTTTATTTGGAACAAATTTTCAATGAATGTTAAAATTTTAATGGAATTCTTTTTTTTAAAAGAGAGTTAAAACATCAAAAAATAAGTTACGTATCTTACCCCAAGAACTCACACCATGACTGACTGGCTCCATTCAGAGGCGAAATGCTTAAATTTCTTTGAAAGATGTGATTTAACCTTTAACCTTTAACCTTTATTAGCCACTTGAACATCTAATGACATTCCTCCTATTTAAAGGTGGCAAGAACTAATGTATGCTATTCTAAAATAATATACTACTTATGGGCATAATTTATCAAATTTTTTTACAAATTTTTTGGCCAATTTTTTATCCAAGTAAAAAAATAAGCTCAAATTCAAGGAATCCAAACGAATCTGCTAGTGAAAAAATTGCGTTTTTAAATACTTTAGGTATTTTTTCGACAAACAATTATCGCCGAGGATTAATTGAACAGATATTTTAGATAGAGGAAACAGGTTAATTCATGAATATGGTTATGGTTAATGGGAAGTAATTAATTACCGATTTACGGTATTCAAGGCTAAGCAAAATTTAATGATGAAATATGAATATTTAAATTAGTTGAAACCTGATAAAAAATAATTAAGAAACTAGAAATTTCTGTAATTCATTTATCTTGGACAAATTGCATGACGATATGGTGTTTATCAAGAATCAAGAATTTTTCATGAGGAAATATGCCTCGATACTTTTCATCAAAATGGATTCTAATAATTTATAACCAAAAATTTTTAATTGGTTTTGAGTGGATAAAATTTTTGCATTAAAGAAATTTCAAACATTTTTTTCTGGATTTTTGTGGATTATGGATTTTACTGCAAAGGCAAATTTTAACATGCACTGGCCATACATTCAGTTACACACTCATTCATTCAATTTATTAATGAAAAATTTTATTGCTACCTATTTAAATGAGCAGTTTTAATCATCCACTTTTTTCGACGCCAATTTTTATATTTTCTATATTTCTTAGTTATTCTTCCCGGGGCCTTTTGTAGTGCATTTTTCTGCTACGCATTCTGCATTGGTTGTCGTATTATGATTATTGTTAGGGATACTCTCGTCAAATGAGTTTGGCGAAATGATGTGATGTGAACCAACCAAATTTAATATAAATAGTGCTTCCTATTAAAAGATTAAAAGATGCACCATATTTCATGCGCATCTTAAACCTACAAAATATTTTCATAAGCTGATTTTCTTTAATTTCCGAAGCCTTTCAGACAATAGATGGTTGGAATAAAACGTCGAATCAGAGTATGCAATTATTGTTGCAATGTTGGGAAGAGGAAGGAGATGAGTGGATTCAATGGAATTATGTCACTTCGACGTTATATGGATTTGGAATTGTTACAACTCTAGGCAAGTGAATATGCGAATATTGAATATGTCGTTGTATGCTGCTAAAACTTCTGGGCATAGCTTATAATTTTGGAATTTTTAGGATATAATCGAATTGGGCCAATAACAACATCAGGCCGAATGTTTTGCATTTTCTACGGTATTTGTGGCATACCGATCACGATGATTATCATCGCAAATATTGGTCAATATTTGAATCAATTCGTTCGAAATTATCGCACTAGAGTAAGTTCTTAGAAAAAAATTGGTGCTTTTTGTAAGCCATCTTGATAGAATCTTTTATTTCTGGTGCATGATACCGTGATAAGTGGAAATTTTATTTGAAGCTGGAAGAAAAACATCGTCGTTTAAAAACTAAAAGTAGATTGCCTATTGGACCAGCCGAACTTATTGTTCTTATTCTCCTCGCTATTTTCTGTATTTATGTTATCATAGGAGCCTTATTGCTTCCATTACTCAATGGCAAAGTTAGTAGATTTCATTTTTTTGTATGTTTTTTCAATTATTATTTTTGCGTTATAATAGTTGATGATAACGATCCAACTTTATCTCAACTTTATCTTTACCTCAAAGAAGGAACTCTCTTAGTGAAAACGGTATTCGCGTTATAGTAATTAGGAATAAGCCAAACAGCTCATAAATAGTGCATGATGCATGACGCATGTTAAGCAGAAGAAAATGCAACATCAATAATTTCTTATAAATCTTAGTTGACAAATACAATAAATCCTTCAAGTGCGCAGTCAGAAATAAGATTTTTCGCCAAATTTCGGGATTAGTGACGTCACTTATTTGTTTAGATCGACTTTTTAAACGGATTATATCACAATTTTCTATGCTTAACAGCTATCGATTTCGGTCAACTTGTCCCACAAAGGTTTTTTTGTTTTTAAAATTTTTGTGCGAAATTAAATTAAAGATCTTTTGAAATTTTCACCCATAACATTTTCAAAATCCGAATTTTAAAAAATATTATTTCTAAAAAAGCATTCAAATAATTTAAATTTAAATTTTTTCATAATTTATGAATGCAAAATTTTTATAAATTTGCATTTCGCAATTAATTTTCTTTGAAAACGGAAATTTTTAAAATTTTAAAAACAGTGAATTTTTTATCGGAATTTTTTTGCGTAAAAATTCTATGCAATATTTGAACAGAACCCAAATTTAAAATTTTAGGATCATATTTTTACCAATAACATTCATTTATGTTTGCATTGGCCTCGCAATAACTACCATTGCAATAGGTAATTTTATTTCCGAAATTTATTTATTTATTTGTGAAAACTTTAATTTTTTCAGTTTGTGAAGAAAAAGAAGTTAATAGAATAAATAATACTTTAATACTTTAAAGATATTGGCTCGGAATATATGAGAAAGTTACATTATGTTGGAAAAAAGATGCAAAATGTGGCTTCAACAACGATTTGGTTTGGTGGTAAAAGGTGAGTGCATGCATTTGCATTTATTGTTTGTGTACTTGTTTGCATGTCTCTGTGCCACTTTATTTAAATACTAAGGCTTCTTTGATAAATCTTATAATCAAAGAATATAAACTTTTAAAATTGTTCTAATTGAACAGACCTTCCGGAATTTGTCAATTTAAACAATTATTATTGCGTTATTTACGAAATTGTTACCAGTAAATTTAAGGCCTGAATATATTCAGTCATTGAAAATTCACTTTTTTGATATTTTTAATTCAATGTTAAAATATGATTTTGCAGAATGAACGTGAAAGATCTATTACATGCGGTTGGCAGAAAATGTGGGATTGACGATTCAGTTATCGACAATATTAATCTGGAAAACGTTGTTGAACGAACAATTGCAATGAATGTATGAAGCATTGAACTAAGCGACTAAAATTTCTCAAGACTTCTTAAGATTTTTTTATTCATAAAACCCTCGGGAATTTATCAATATATCCCAATATAATTTGTCAATTTCAATTTTTAACGAATCGGAACCTTACATTATTTCACAATAGCCATTAATTTTTCCATAAAATTGGATCGCTTTATATTGTAAAAATTCTCTCTCTCACTTCATTCTCAACCTTTACCAGAGGCCTGAGAGATTAAGAATTCAGTGATTCTTAGCTGTACTTAGCAGTATGCTCTTCTGGATAGAAATAAATAGTTTCCCATTTTCTCTGATGTTGGTCCTGGAATTTATTTTTCAATTTAGGGTTGCAGTCCATAGTATTATTATCACTGGGGCTGTTTTGACCTTTTTTTCCATATCTTCTCTTTCAGCCCTTGGTATTTCTCTAGCTTCTCATTTTCCTTCTTCCTAAATGTTCCTGCCACTTGGTACATTGTTATATTTACAACCAGTGCTGTTCTTATCTTTCATTCAAATTTTCTTCGTTCTCATCTGCTAGTAGTTAAAGATGGGTTGATTGGCTTAATGGCAAGATGATTGCCGCAAGATGAGTGAGAATTAAGGATGGGTTAGTGGGTTAGTTTGAATATTGAATATGACTAATCCACCATATTCTGCCGGGCAGTAATGCCGTGGAACGCGAAAGCAAAAGAGTTAGAATGGTTCAAATGATTGTGGTTATCGCTCAGTTTAGAGCGCTGAGATTCCTTGTCGGGCAGGAATAAACCCGTCCTTCAAAAATCTGGGTGGCTCTGGCAACTCACTTCTCCAAGAAAAATTTGCCAGGTCCGACAAGTCAGCAGAATGAGCCTAACAATGGTGAGCTTAAAGAAAAAATTCATTTTGGAAAGCATTAAATAAACTATATTCGTGGTAAATTCTTTTAAAATTCTATGAAATATGGTATTTTAGGAAGGTAAAGAACTATCAATAGATGCTGATATAGAAGCACCTCAAGACCAGCTAAATTTGAAATCCGAACAGCAAATACCAGAGAAAGTTCCTCTTTTGGAAACATCAGTAGAAATGAATTGTGCAATAGAACGGTAAACAAATTTTTTATGAACGATTATGATTTTAAACGGTTTTTATTAAAATAGATAAGCATATGGTAAATGGTCTTTCGTGCCAAAATAAAAAATTAGAGCAGCAAATATAGATAAAGAGTTTCGGTTAAGCTAAAATTAATAGACCCAACTACAGTGAATGAACATTTTAAAGCAGTTTTAAAGTTACTTTAATATTTTACTGGTTCGATTTTTATGAACTCCATCGTAAAATATAGAGTGCATTTCTGCTTAGACTCGCTCCATTGGCTTATTACTTGGTGAAAATAGTTTCTATAGAAGTGAGATGAGACTTTTCGCCAGTTGGTATATGCAGGTTAGCAGGTGAATTTTTCTCAATGATGCTGAGCCATGAAGTTTGAGAAAACAATCAGAAAACAATCTAAACATTGCACTATTCATTCAACTATGCTACCGTGTTTTGCTGCTATGTTTGCGCATCTGATCATTTCTGAACAAAGAGTGAAATATGATTATTCCTTTACTCCTTCATGGGGACAACGAACTAGGTCATAGGTCAATTAGATAGACCCAATGCCATATATTAAACAACCAGTCGAATGGACTGCATACTATGTAGCATTAAAATAAAGTGTGTACTGGTAATTCCCTTAAATAATATTTTATCGATCTTTCTAAAATTTTTAATCTGATTGAATTATAAAAATTTGCAACCTAGAACTCCGTCGACAGTCAGTAATCATTCGCATTTTTCAATTAATATACCACCAGTGCCCTCAGAAATCGTTGTAAGAACAATTTCTTCATCAGAGGTGGCGGTATAATAATATTTTATTGTTTTTCATGAATAATGTTGAAATTAAGTAGTGATAAAGTTTTCTTATTTTTCTTTTGTGTCTAAGAGCGCTCACCATTTTTGCTTTGATCGGCTTCACTGATTACTGTGGTGAGGCAAATGGAGATAAATGCAAAGACATCATTCAGATTTGATTTTTAATGGCAAGTTTACACTCACTCAAGAATTTTCGGTCTCTTATCTCCAATTTTAAGCAAAACAAACTTTCGAAATCTTTCAAGTCTACAAATTTTTTTATTTAACAATATCTCACGAATGCACCAAAAAATTACAAATTTAGGGAAGTGAAGCACCTTATATGTCAATTAAACTTCCCGAACAGGCTATTATGAAAGGATTTACTTTCGTTCATGAATCTCCAGTAAACTTTTTATTTTTCATATTTATTGACTCATTGACAAAATTGAATAAAATTCTAATTCTGATTTATTAAAAGGCAATTTCATTTATTTTTCAGGAATCTTTGAAATATGCCGATATTATTGTAAATGAGATAGCTGTTGAGACATGCAGTAAGGATGTACTTCAAGAGGTGAAAATAGATTACGCGCTCGACGAAAGTGGACAAAATGACAGTAAAGGTGATCAAAGCAATAATTCAGACTCAGAGATGGCTTCAATTCCAGACGTTTCAAAAAGTAATTTAAATATTGAACATCTGCACTAAAATAATTTCGCCACGCTCAGCCGTGATTATGATGGATAATACAATAAGATTGGTAATTTTATGCACGCATGTTGGGCGATTATTTGAAGAATTATAAGCATGAAACTAAATTTAAGATGAAAAAAATTTTCCTTGTCATTTCCCGTGAATAGTATGAGCATTATTAGACGATCTATCAAAGGTCTGAGTTCAGTCCAGTATCTTAGTTGTTGCTTAGCAGTGCGGTATTTCAAACAGAGATCTCTGATATTTTCACTGATTTCTTGTATATATTCATATGTTACGTTAGCTGATTTGCAATTGTTCTTAGTTCATCACATCTTTGTTGCTTGGATTAACCTTAGCACTCTTGAAAAATGAATTTTTCTGATAATCATGATCACTAATTTAAAATTAATATAACCCAATTAATATGAAATTTTATTATAATTGAATTTTTTATTTATAAATTAAATTTTCAATCGCTTTAAGTCATTTATATTACAAGTGCTATAAAGTTGGCAAAGTTTCGTTTTAAACTGAAAAATTCACTAAAAAAGTTTGCAGTTCCACAGAAATTCGAAGTAAAAAAGGAAATATATGCGCATGATCCAAATAAACTATTGCAAACATATCAAGAAGAGTGGGAACGGTTTGAACGTATTTCTTTAAGTCGACGAAAAGATCATCGAAAACCAAGAAATTTATCAACTCCTGGTTCATCTTCCAGTCGATCATCATCAAACGAAGGAATCAGATTTAGTGATAGCTTTAATACAAATCTTTCAAGAAACTGGAAATATTGAATTGTTGAATCATTAATTTCGATTCGTGAGAAGACACTCTAAATCGAAATTATTATTCGACTTTAATCTTATTTCCTCAAATTTTGCCTAATTCTATTATACATTATAGTATATAGCAACTTTTCATTTCATATAACAACTTTGGTCGATTCGAACATATTGATAATAGCAAAATGTTCCTTAACTATAATACTTTTTTATTCGTAAATTGATATTTCCCGTTTAGATTCCCCACTAATTATTAGGATTGGACTGTTTAGCCGAGTTGTCACTAATAGCGCAGATGGATCCAAGCGATCAAGTGGGTTTTGCTTTTTGATAACAGATTTGCTCCTATCAAAAGACATGACAAGAAGATTACAAGAAGATTGCAGTTGTGAAAGTGCGATGATTTCTTTTGTAATTTATTGAAAAGTGAATCAAAAATCGAAATTTTATTTTGATAAAAAAAGAAATTAAAAATTTTTTAAAATTTTTCTTAGAAAACTTAGCAATAAAATATTTACATTAACAACTAAACATTATTATCAAAATTATTTGTTTCTTTATCGCAAGGAGTGATAAAAAAAGAATTCGTCGTTAAAAGTTAATTAACTGAAAATTAACTTCGCCAAAAGAGTGGATTCAATATGCGAATATTGCGAATAGTGGATCTTTCAAGTATTTAAGCAACAATTTAAAAAAACTCTTTAGCAAAATTATTGGTCTTGATAAAGATCTTGAAAAAAAGGAGAAAAGATAACTAATTCATTTCAAATCTTGGCAATAGGCCTCTGTAAAGACTCCGATTCAGAAGAAACAAGTAACATTAAGGTCGCATGTTTGGTAACTTTCGCGTGGATTCATTATCTTTGTCTTCATTATTTTGGCTCTTTGGAAATAAGCGATTAAGGTCTGTATTGCTGAATCGATTCTTTGGGAACAAACGATTAAAATCGATAGACGTTGGCCATTTATTTGGCAATAGGCGATTTAAGTCTATACCTCCAGGCAAGAAACTCAAAAGAAACTTAACAATACTATCAACCATTGGGCCCAAATAAATTAAGCTCTGTAAGCCTGGAAGAGTGAGCGGTAATTGCTGTATTGAATCATCATCAAAATTTTTGCTTGCAGTTGGTTCATTATTTGGTTGAACACTTCTCTGGAACAGCAATAAAAATAAATTATCCAAGTCACCATTTTAACTTGTAATTTATTGATTAATATGGCCCTCGAAACTAAATAAATAAAACCAAATAAAGCATTATTTCAGAATGCATTACAATTATATCTTAGTTTAAATCTAAGCTTATATTATGGCAGATTATTAAAAAAATTAGGCATCAAATACCGATGTGACTGCATTAAAATGATGGGAAAAAATGAGGAATGTTGAGGTGAATGCACCAAAGACAGTTGATCGCATTGCGCAAAATTCGTTGATTTGAACGAAGGACAACTAAAAATGGATTGTTGGATTAACGACATTTAGGAATACTTATTGCAGTATATATTGTAAGAATTTATGCAAAAACCATGAAAAGATATTTTTAAATCAGCCAAATTACTTTTTCATATTTACTAAGGAACGATTATAAAATCTTTCATTCCAATCTCATTCGTTTCCAAAAGAGAAATCAAAAAATTCTATAGGCTGAATAAGAGTTCTCTGAATTGGCTTAAAGCTACCAGCGACCAAAATTTATTAAATAATTCACGCATAATTTGCCGTCGTTTTAAATGCAACACATTAGTTATTAGACTAATCAAACAAAAAAAAATCAAATATTTGCAAAAATTATAGTCAAATGAGATAATAATATTAATCACGGAACTATTTGAAAATCAAATATTATTTTTGATAAATTTATAAATTTATAAATTTAAATTTAATTTGTTTGATTTTATAAACAAAATTTATAAAATTTAAATAAAATTTTTTTTAAGAATCGCTCGCTATTTTTGTTTAGAGTCGCTCTGCTGGCTTATCGGATCGATCAAGTTTCGTTAAGTCAATCATTTAGCGAAAGAAATACAGGTGAGCATCACTCGTATTAAAATGAATCTCAAAAATATTCGTTAGTCCCTTCTTTAATCCGATGAATAAAGATTTTCGTCTTATATACAAGGTGCTAATAAATTTTATCATTGGGGAGAGGAAATGCTGGACTTCAAATGCCTTGGATCCACTCTAATTCCAAATGACAAGCAAAGGATGACACTGTAACCCCGATAACGACAGCTAAAAATGTGTTTTCCGGAAACTTTTATAGAACCGTCGCGAAATCAACATAAAGACAAAAATCCGCGTCCATATAGCTACAATTCGCTCGATCTTACTATATGGCTGCGAAGCATGGCCAATGAGAGTGGACGATATTAAGAAGCTATTAACCTTCGACCACTCATGTCTAAGATACATTTTACGGATCCGTTGAAAGGATAAACGCATATGATTGTATCCATCGCTCAAATACAATCTGTATTAATAATGTTATCACAGAGCATCGTTTTTGTTAATTAGGGCAGTTGTTCGTCGCCCACAACAGAAGTTGGCGCATATTTCGTTAGTTGTTTCTGTGATGGTTGGCGTCAAAGGTGAGGAGGGCAGTCAAGGCCTGGATTATACAGTCAGGAAAGGTTTTGAGCGCATAGGATGACCAGCGATATATAGACTTAAACGATGGAAAGAGAAATGGCTTCTATTACCGATGGCGTAAGATATGGTTAATATGGTTAATTTTGGCTTGGCTTGATAAATGGCTTAAAATCCTCATGTATTAGATGAATTAGAAATGTTTTCTTACTTAAATTTTCATGTAAATTTAATGGATAATAAGAATGAAGCAAATATCACAGAGATTTAACTTCAGAAAAACCTATGCCTATCATTAAAAGTTTGGTTGACTATTGGCTATGCACCTATTCCGTTTTTCTTCCAAATGTGGCTCTCTAGCAAAATTATCAATTAAAATGTCCCATACAGTAATCAATAAAGTCATTCAAGCATAAAAGATATGGTACCAGTTAATCGAATCAATGATTGTGAAAATATCTGATTTTCTCTTCTCTTCAGTTTTTGGGACAGTTTTTGCGATTCGACTGTTTTCCTTTTTGATATTGTATTTTCTTGCTTATTCTTAATAGTCATGCTTGCAGTTCACGCCTATTATATTTCATGCTTTCCATGAAATTTTATAAATTTGAACCAAATCGACTTAGTACTTCTTTTTCTAATAACTCCAACCACTGCCGATTAGGTTGGCACTACTGGCTATATCGGTAAGACACTTCAAACCTTCAAAGCTACTCGGCCCGATTCATATATACTGGTACTGGCATTTTCATATAATTAATAACATAATAAAATCAAGTAAATGTCAAAGTTTCATGATAAATATTGTAATTGCGTCAAGTAGCATTTATTGTCTTACGAAAATTATTATAAAAAGAAAGAAAGGGACGAGTGTGACAAGTTGGAAATACTCTTCATGCATGCTATTTGCTTGATCGCATTACTCAAATTATAATTGTCTATACTAGTCATATTGTCTATATCTATTTAGTGACACATAACGAATAAGTTTAATTTACGCTCTGTCCAAATATTTATTAAATTTTTGTTCTATACATACATTATTATTGTAACTGAATTATCGCAAAAATGGTTATAGAATTACGCTAATACGATTTATGCTGTTGTTGATAGAGAATTTATATTTTACGCTATTAATACAATATTAATATTTTAAATAAATTTTTAATTTTTCGTCCTTCTACACTATTTTATAAATTCAAAATTTAATAAATGTCGACCTTTTGACCCTTTTAGAAAGCAATTTTAGAAAACTTATCATAATTTAATACAGAATTTAATTCTATAGTTTCTACTATTCATTCAATTTTAAATCACTAAAAATTTTTTAAAAAAATTTCTAAAATTCTAAAAAATGATCGCATAAATATTCTCAGATGAATTGCTTTTATACTTATATTTATATTTTATATTTTATTTTATATTTTATATTTATTGTAATTACTTCGAAGCAGTGATGAAAGCGAATCATTAAAATTTTATTTAAACAATAAATGAGTTGTTGCTTTCATTTCGGGGCATCCACTGGGGTTGTTCCATCCTCAGTGGGAGCGAATCTGTCTTTTGAAAATCCGAATAGTACCAGCCTTCTTTCACTATCACTATGTAATCTGCCTGAGAAAAATTGCAAGCCAGTGGAGCCTAACCAAAAATGATAACAGCTCAAAACTTATTTCTTAAATTTATTCACTTATTTTTAAGATCTTTTGCTATTTTTTTACCTTTTTTTTGTCGAGCATTTAACAGTTTAGAAATTTAATTCATAGTTTGAGAACCAATCAAAAGAAATTTATTATTCTGTTGGTTAAGAGTCGTATTGAAATAATTCGGTGATGAGCATATTGTTGTCATTTGTGAATGGGTTCGCATATGCGTATGAAGATTTGATGCTCGGTTGAATGCTTTTTCGCAAAAGGTGCAAACATATGGCTTCACCTGCAAACTTAAATAATTATTTATATCGGTGGATGCATTCAAACAATCATGTGACACAATTAAATCTGAGAAACTAAAAATTCAGGATTACTACTACGGAAAGTTTTTTCTGGATATAGGTGTGTGGGTATGTCATAACCACTGATATGGTGATGTAGATCGATCTTCATCTCATTCCTTTCATTATTTGTGATATTTTTAAGAAAATATAAGGTGCCAATTGGCTTTATTTTTAATAGATCACCATAATTTATATTATTTATTATTATTATTAAATTTGATTTGTTCGATTTTAAAAGATAGCTGCTTTCCACCAGCTTTTAGTAGCTATTGAAAAAAAGAAATAGTTAAAATAATTCGAAACTGTGGTGTGAGTAAGCCGATGTCGAGTCAGGTTTCCTGGTTGCCTAAATGCTCGACCACAATGATCACATTGGAATGGTTTTTCTCCAGTATGGATTCTCTGCAAATAAAGAAAAAGTTTCAAAGTTTCTTTTCCTGAAAAAGCTAAAGAAGTCTTTTTGAAACATTTTTTTAACCCATTTGGCCCGTTTAAATTCATTTTTCCTATTTAGGCCTACTTGGCTTAGAATTTAGAATTTTAATAAATTATGAATATCAGCCATTTTGATGGTTAAAAAGAAAAATTAATAAATTATGGGAAAAAGCAAATAAGAGAGAAAAAGATGAACAAAATTGTCTATGAAAAATGAATAGAATGCCATTTGAATAATTTATTGAAATTGTGTAGCAGATTTCCGAAATTTTTCATTGACTTATTCAAAAGATGATGAAAAAATCGCATATTTGGCTGACCGACCGCTCAAGCAAACAGATCAATAGTATTTAAAATATTTTGAAGGCGACCGTATACCTCTTACTTGATGTGCTTTTCGCATTCTAAATGATTTTCTTAAATCAGTTTCTTTCATTTCAGTTTCATTTAAAATACTTGGAGACAAGTCGATTGAGCAATATTTTGCTTAAGCTAAGAACAAACTTATTCGATGCTCTCTTACAGGACTAAAACTGCCATCGAAATGCGCTGGCCACTGGAGATCCACAAAGCTTGCAATTATATCCCCAAATAAAAAATGGCTCGATGATGTCATTTAAATCAGAAATTTTACCTATTTTCGGCCATCAGACTAAGTGAAATGCAAAACCGGAGTTGAGAAAGATGAAGCTAAAAATTTCGATTAAAAGTAATAGATATACCTTATGGGTAACGAGAGTGTTACTTCTACTAAAAGCTTTTTCACATATATCGCAACGATATTTTTTAGCGCTTTGGCGTACATTTGGATCAGCTCTTAAGCGTTGATCTCGGCTACCTGAGAAAAAAAGCTTGAAAATTGACATTTGTACCTCTATTGCTCGAATAAAATCGTCTTTAAAAATAATTAGGGATGATTTTTGGAATTGCAAAGGCGAAAGTCGAGAAAATGAGAAACTGAAATTTATCACTACACAGAAAATACATGTTGCTGACCCAGCAATCGCAGTCGTTCAAATGATGTTGATGAATTCGTTTGGAGTTGTTGTTTTGCAAATCGAGATAAAGCAGAAGTCCACTGAAAGGTTGCCTGTTGAATCATTTGATATCCAGATGCATAAGAAGAGAAATGATAACCATTCGGATGCATATCCTGAAGAGAAAAAAAATATTCTTAAAAAATTCACACCCTAAATTGTAGGGATTGAATAGTGGACTATTACCGTTCATTTTCGACTGTTCATTGATGCTATTTCAAATGCAAACCTGCTTTTTAAAAATTCGGCTATGCTGACTAACTACTGGCTATGCTGACTAACTACTGGCTACGCTAGTGAATCTCTAGCAAAATTTTCTGGTCCAGCAAGTCATGAATTACCAATTTTATATCAAATTTGTTTAATAATTGGGCTTTAATCAACTGCTGATTTGAAAAAAATTTAAAATTTTAATATATCCTTAAAAGGGCAAAGGGGCAGCAAACAATATAAATAGGGTAGTTCCGAGTGAAATCAAATCAAATCCTAGAGATTTAATAAGATAATTATTAAAAAAATGATATGAAATAAGTGAATAATTATTAGATACCGAAATAAATGGATTTGAATGGTTATTAGATGTTCTTAATAAAGAGCTGCTAGGAAGGTTATATTTGCCGTACAGATAAGATAGCTTCTCGGGAATCGGTTGCGGCTCACATGAACATTGTTGATTTGAATTTTTTTGCAAATTTTCCCTTTCTCTAAGATTAAATTTTGTTTATTCATGGAAGATTTGAAAATTTGCTTAATAGGATTTGTAAAAATAATTGTCATGGAAAAACATGATAATTCGGTCGTCTAATTATGGTATATTAACACTAAACCAAAATTTTTTTTGAAATTGAATTCCAGTTAATTCAAATAAATTTATATAGAAAAGAATAGATACATTTTATTAATCAATTCAGTAGGTTGGTCGTATTGAGTCGTCAATAGGTCATCGTTGACTCCACCATTATTTAATAATGATTCTATTGTAAAGGAACCTGGCATTATTACTGTAATGATAAAATAACGATAAGAGATTATGAAATCATAACATTCCATAAAACTATTTTTAATATCGCGACTTTCATTAATTTCTGCGAAATCGTAATTTTAATTCTCTTTAATCAAACTTTAATATTCGAATTTAACAGTAACAATCAGTTTAACGAGTTTAGACATATCTAACAGAAGAAAATGATACAAATGAAACTATCCCATTTTGGTGACTAAATGTTTCTTGAATTTTGATATTTAATTTTCTTGATAAAGTGCCAGATTGACCTATTCGTCCCATCACAGTAAGAAATCATATAGCTTTTCAAAATATTTCAATTTTTTGCTTCTTCTTGCCTCCAGAATCTGCACGTTTAAAAAAAAAAAACAATTAGTAAATCTTCAATAAATTTTATTTAAAAGAAATTTAGTGGCAAAAATAGAGCGGCTATCCTACAATGAAACCGGTTGCAAATTCTTGAAGAATATGGTCAAATTCAATATAATACTGAAATGAATAAGGCAGGATAGGATAATCGAGTGACATATTGCTTCAACCAAGTGCCATTACAAATTTTATTACAGTTTTTTGATGCTTGTCATTGCCATTTAAAAAAATTGAAGTAGTATTGAGCAAACCTACATTTATCTCCCACAAGTATCTCTATAGTAAGGAAATTTTTCATTGTTGGCAAAGAGTCAATCGAAAAATGGTGAGAAGAAGAACGAGAAAAAAAAAATTGGAAAAAGACATGTATAGTACATATATAGTAAAATTATACAGGTAGCGTTTGCGCAATTCTTTCATACTAAATGATTAGATTAGATAAAAATCAGACGATATTGGCAACTCATTATATTTCCATCACCAAGTGGTTCCTGGCCTGGCAAGCTAGCCAAGCAGTGGATTTTGTTATCAGAAAAGGGCGCTTTTAGGAAAAAAAGTTCAGATACAAAATGAGATGCAAAAATGGAGCTATAATGCTTCCATTGCTTAGCCAGTAAATTATTGCCTAAAATAAAAATTATTAGAATTTTTTCAAACATACTAAATTTGTACTTAGATTTGGATTAATTTAAAGACAGGCCAAGCTATCGGTTTTTCTTCCTTTTTATCTTTCTCATCAAAAGGGGAAAAAAGAAATATAGCTGGAACATGGAGGAAAAGAAATCTTCTTTACTTAAGCGAATTAGAGTTGTAAAATGGCGATATAATGCACAATTTGATCAAACCACTCTAAGGTTATATAATGATTAGAGCAGGCAAAAAATAATTTTCCAGCAATGACATCTTGACATTTTACAGAAAAATATTATACTTCCAGTACTGACTGACAGACTGATATACATTTATTAGCACCGATTTTTACCTGTTATTAATCAATCTGAGACATATCAGATGTCAACTAATTAGCATTAACCTTTGCTTCAGACCAAACAGCTCGCTGGAAAATCTATCAAATACAACAGAATATATATTAAACAATAAGAAGTATCAAACTATCCTCTAATATGCGACAAAAACTGAGGCTGTGATAGCTGCGAAAGTGGATAATCAGTGGCCTAAATGCTTCATGGAAGCGTTGATTTATTGATCAATGAGAAAATGGGAGCGGCTAAAACCACCGTAGCGCTCGGCCCATCTTTAAATACCGTATGTTGAATTCATCCGCTGTTCATTTTACCTTTTCAGCACTTATCAATAATAAAGTAATGCGATATGCTTGATCGCTTACTCAAACAACGCCTTGTGTCGTCGGAGTATTGACCTTGTTTACAAATGCAAAAGGCTTTTAATTCTTAAATCAAAGGCGATCATCATTGTCATTCCACATCGAATTATACAAAATCTTAAAATTTTCCTTATTCCCATTTATTTTATTCATATCTTTTTGAAAAACCATATTCACTCGATAGATTTAATATATCGCTTTTGCTATGTAATGGGACTTTTGAATTTAGTCAAAAATATAGCTTTAGTTGAGTGATTGCTAAGAACCCACTTGTGCTTTTATACAAATTCAAATGGCTCTGTGATAAAAGAATTTCAGTAGTTATCAGCCAAATCAGAGCACTAATAGTTGATAATGTATAAAATCTTTACTTAATAAATCTATTGTTTTTAGTTATTTTATGGATTTTCAATTCTTTTAGGTTTTTGATTTTCAAGTAACTTTTTTATCGAATTACATTAGTTCAATAAATTATTAATAATTAATAAGACTTCGACCCTAAAATTTACTTATTTGAGTAAAAATAAATAAGCACAAAGCATTTTGCGGAAAAAAAGCAATTATTTTACTGCTTTTGACAAAATTTAATAGAAAGGTGATAAAAAAAAATTATTTTACTGAATCCTTCATCGCTGTGACTTTTATATTTAAAAGATTATTTAGGTAAGTCATAAAAAATTGTGCTTCACTAAAGTCGATAGCTAATTAATCTTACGCATATTAAAGCAATTTTTCAGTCTTCGATAGACCAATTCATTAGATGAATGCCAATGAAAAGTTCGCCGGATGGGTAAAAAATTGTAATGAATGATTATATCATTAAACGGAATTTTATAATATCCAGCCAATTATCCCGCCTTAAATTTTTTTTCTCAATGCTTATCATTTCTGGTTAAGTTCACCTTGCTGGCTTATTGGGCTAAATGAATTTCGTCGAGGAATTTCCTGAGGATAGAAGTGGAGATGGGTCGCAGACACCTCGAAATGATAGCAACAAGAGCTCACTGAACCATTCCATTGTCCTTTAAATATTTTTTAATGTAGTCCATTCGTCTTAAAATGTCTTATAGAAAAGAGCAAAAATTTTGTAAGATAAAATGACATGACATTTTTTATTTTCATCACATTAACTGATTAAAATGCTTAATAAATGATTTTACTCATCTCAAAATTTTTCCAAAATTACCAAAATTTTATGATAGTTTCGAGAATTTCTGCAAAGAATTTCTTATACAAACTTTTGGTTAATTTAAATTTATTGTAAACTTCTTGCTATTTATTCACTTGTTATTCACTTTTCTCAGTGACTAATCGTATTGCACTTTTGTTGAATTTTAAATTATATGACTTAGCTAAATTATATGATGTGGCTCAATATATTGCCGAGCTCAGTTCGGGATGTTAATATTGGGATTCTACTCGCGGTATGAGTAAATTTATCTTCTACTGGCAAGTTGGCTCACTGGCAAAATTTATCTGGCTCGACAAGTCAGTGGAGCGAAATTAACCAGAAATTTTGGTTATTGCTTAATATTAACTTTTTTCAGTTATCCATGTTTAATTGATTTTTCGTTTGAGTTTTCGTGTTTTTCGAGCAATCGAAAATAAACTGAAATGAATGGAATGAAGTGGATTTTAAAAGTATCTGATATTTTAGTTCTTCGCTATTTCCATTGAATTTTTTAATCATCATCTTCCTTTTCTTGCAACAAACATAATTTCTAACTCCAGCTTGTTTCCATCAAAGATGAAACTTTTCGCTAATTGCCAGTTGGAGATAAACGTGCCCAGTCAAATCCTGTTAATTAAATTTTTTCTTCTTCCTAAGGCCAAAAAATAAATTTCAAAAATTAAAGGTATTTGAAGTAGTTTATAGTTACTAAAATTATTTCGATATATTGCATTTATCTATATTTTGAAATTTTTCTTCTCAAAATGCAATGCAATAATTTATGCAAAATTTTTTAGCAAAATTTCTGTGACTAGGCTTTAAAAATATCACAAAATTTCAATTCTGAGAAGAATAAATTAATTTCTTTGATAATAAACTTTTAAATTTTCCAGAAATTCACAGACATTTCCAGATTTATTTAGTGGGAAAAGGTCAAATTGATCTATTATGGGTTGAGAATATGAAATGGGCGCGTCAATTAGTATCAAATGAAGTGGCCACTGATGTAATTTATCTTAATAAAGACGAGCACACATCGTTATAGCTTTATTAATTAATAAGTGGCCTCAGCTGTGTTACATTTGGTGGCCACTTCAGTCAACTATGAAGCTTTGAAATATTCAATTTATTTGATAAACCATTTAATTACAAGAAAGATATCTTATACAATAGTTCATTTTTATTTCTGCAATTTTTTTCTGTGACCATTCACATTTTTCCGGAAGAGAAAATTTTTTTCGAGAGTTACTAGGCAAGTTTTTTCTGTCGCTAGTCGAATCCCACTATCTCTAAAATGAGAGCAAGAAAACGCTGAGCAATTTTAACTCTTATCAAAAATATTCGTTATTATTAGTCAGACAATCCGCCTTAACAATATATTTTACTGTATTCTAAACCACGAAACTGATCATTCCTTCAGCTATTCTACTTCAAATAATGGAGATAATAAGCCACCATTCATTGTTCGTTCATTTCTTATTGTTTTTTGAGAGGAACTTATATGCTAATTATAATTATTGCACTGAAAAACTTTAAAACCTATTTTGTCCAAAATTAAAATTCGCTTCGACAGCATCGAAATAACAGAAGAGAAAATATAAAATGTAGATCAAGAGAATATAATGAAAATCTGAAATAGGCAAACAAAGTTATTACTTAATCCGTTCAAAAAATGAACTTTTATGCAAGCTCTATCCTCTATCCAGTGCAATGTTATCATCAATACAAGCATTTCAACTCAGAATCAATAAAAAAATATATGAATGCTTAACAATGGCTTAATTACCTCAAATGCAATCTTGTTGACCTCACTTATAATCTTCCAGAAACAACATTGCGCGATCACAGTATCAATTATTAGCATTTTTTTTATTAGAATTCTTACAAAATCATAAAAAATTGATTGCAAAATAGAAATTGCTCTTAACTTTTATCAAGCTCAAGCATCGCATTTGACTTATTTTAATTGTGCTCACTACTTACCATCACATTTGTTAAATTCATCATAAGCAAATATTATTATAAAATAAAATTCAAGAAGAAATTATTAATTATTTTAAATAAATTTCCCTATATATCAAAAAATTTCCCTATAATTAATGTTAATCATGCAAGCCACCTGCAACTAATTTTACACGCCAATAGGTATTCGAGTTAAGCAATATATTGTATTTATGGAATGTATAAGATCAAATGAATAATAATGTTGCAACTAATATAAACTCAAAGATTCAAAAAATTATACGAAAAATTGGTTCAGTAAGCATTAAACCATGTAGAAGAAATGGAATGGCTTAGTGAACTGCTTTCGGAACGCTAATGTTCTGTTCTCGGCAAGAATAATCATTCGAAAATCCAGGTGCTGCTGGCGATCAACTGTATTCTATCATTTTTTCTAACAATAATTCGGCAAGCCATTGGAGTCCTTCGAACCAAAAATGTTAAATTTTCTTGGAAAGGAAAAAACTATAGATATTATAGAATATCAAGTGTCACATGAATATTTTATAAAATATATTTTTTTATTTTATAAAAAAAAGTTACATATATATATATATATACATAATATATTTTCTGCTTGTTTTTTAGATAAAATCCCTTTTCATTAAAATTTATATAAATGAACCAAAAATTAGAAAAAGTTGGAAAATTTGTTTTTTCTACTATTTCGCCTTATAGAATAAATCATGTAAAATTTTGAATCAACATCTGAAGTATTAAATAATTAGAGACCATGTTCATTGTTTCGGCTGAGGGTAGTTAGCATGAGTTTGATTCATCTTTCTTGATAACGATGAATCTGTTACTGCAAACTGAATCCGAGTGGTTGGTTATCACTGATTTCGACTTATTTCGAAAAAAAATATTCGCGCTAGTCAGTCAGGAAAAACCAAAAAACATTGTGTTAGGAGATTATAATGATATGAAAATCTATTCCATAATCTATTCTATAATTTATAATTTTTAAAGAGTTTCAAAAGGTATTTCAAGAAGTTTAATACATTATTAACCTAATAACCAAAGAAATTTGTCGCGAAATCCGCTTAGCCGAATATTAGAAAAGGTATTAGAAAAAAAACTACGGTATGAAACTGATAAAACTGATCTGCTAATCCCGAAAATGGAGTGGTAAAGACACTCACCCTTCAATATTATATAAATATTTAACGATTCAATCATCTTTTGGGGAATATTACGAAGCGCCAAATGAATCATTTTGGCACGCAAAGTCGCATCTTGATGCTTTCCATCTTTATTAAGTATTTTTCCAGTGTAGAATTTTAGATTTATTATTTAAATTTTGAACGATTGATTCACTGAATGAGATGAAAATATAATTATGAAAATATAATTATTTTTTCAGAAAAATCCTGTAAACCACATGAAATAAATCTTCTGTCATTTCTGGACGTATGTTTTGTTGAACAATTTTCTGGTTAGGAGATGTTATCCTGTTATTCTGCTGATTCTTCAGAAATTTCGCCAGAAAGTCGTTTGGCGATAAGAGTGTCAACATGGTTGAATTTTTGAAAGAACATTCCATCCAGGAACAAAATCCCAATATTGTCTCTTTGAAATAACTCGTTGAGCAATTCTATTCTTTGAGATTCAACGGTATTATATTTTCTGGTACATGCTAACACCACGTGGTACCATCTTTTCTTTTTTTCGAAATATCTTTGAGAACTTTTCCAATTTTTTCTCAAGCAAGCCCATATCTTATCAAGCTTTAAAAGTCTGTAAAAAAAATTTGAATTGCTTTCGATGTGATAAATTTTATATTCTCCTATTGCTTTCACAGTATCATTTTAGCTGAGCACTGATGAAACAATAAGAAAAAAAATAAGAAGTATAGTTTGATCTAGAGGTTGAGTATTCAGTGGATTGTTGCCCTCACATTTCGAAGCGCCCATGATGGAGGGGGGGAGGGGAGGGAGTTCTATTCGCTAAATTTCGAAAAATTTCGAATAAATTTTCGGGTGGCGATCCATACATATTTCTATCGTTAAACGACTCGCTGGAATATAGCCCAGCAGTCCAACGGAACTAGAAATGATTTTACGTTTAATAGGAAGTTCGCTTACATCATGGAAAAAGAATAAGTCTTTTTTCTGATTTATTTGAATAATTTTATATTGAAATATTAAATAAAGGATTTAAAATGAATTTTTTATTGTAATTTTTAATTTTTAATAGGTAGAAGCTGCCTTAATAACGAATAAAATAGTTAGCGCTCGCTCGCAATTTTTGCTAAGGTTTAGTTTTATTTAGCTCTTATTTTAAAAACTACGGTTAGAAATTTTTAGCAAAACGACATTTAGAGGTAGAAGCCCAGATAGTAGCTCGCCAGCACCACCCGGATTTCTCAATCACAGGCTTAGTCAAGAATAAAAGAATTTAAAAAATTTTATTGGCGATATTTTATTAACGATTCCAGCGCGAAAAACAAGTCGATTTTATTGTTAAACAGTGAAAAAATTCCAGTTTTCATCCTTTTTTTCTGCAGAACTTCCCTAACACTTATTTTGGTATATGTTGTTATTATTTATATTAGTATTTATATTAATTATTATTTATATTATATTATTTATATTAATTAAAATGAATAGGAAATCTTTAATTTTATGTATAATAGAGTAATATACATTAATATTTTTATACTATTTTAGAATAGAATTGCAGATGCATCTCTGGCATCACTTTTAATTTCATTTTTAATGACAGGTTAACTCCAGTCAAGTGACAGTCCAAGTAACGATCCAATCCATACCTCAGCCAAGGGAACTATTATTACTGTGTAATAACCAATTTGCCACCTTATTCTTATAATTTTACTTAATGTCGAGGACATTTAAGAAAATTTAAAAAAATTTTAAAAAATTTAAGAATATTTACATTTATAAATTTGACAGAATGAGCTTTGTTTTGGCATTTAAAATTTGAAACGTCGTTTATTGTTTTCTTTTTGATTAAAATTAATCGAAAAATAAGTAATAACTTTTATTATTAGTACGAAAAATTTTTCCTTTAAACCATTCATAAGGTGTATTCGAGTTCATCAATAACGTATATTCGAGTTCATCAGTTCATCAATAAATAAAATCTCACATAATCGCGTCTTCGCTCAGATACCACTTGCATTAACAAAAGCATCCTAGAGCGTCGCCTTCGCTGGTTAGGAAACGTTCTTTGTTACCCACCCCCAATAGTTGCCACGTATTTCGTTATTTGCTAAGCCCTATGATTGTTGGCGAAATGGATAATCAAGACTGGCATAGCCAGTAAAGATTTTGGAGCATAGATGGAGCAAATGTATATGGATTTGGACAATGGAAAAAAGAATGGTTTATATTATTATCGACGATGGCATCAGATCGCACAGCTTGAAAATTACTATCGACGATGGCATCAGATCGCACAACTTGAAAATGTCTTACTTTTGTAGCCAGCGGAGCCAGCCTAACCAGTAATGAGAGTTATTAGAAGAAAAAGAAGGTACATTCGAATAAATAAATGAAAACTTATATTTAAAATGACCTTCAAATTTGATGCTATTATTGCAAATATCGTTCTTTTTTTCATCAAAAAGTTTTTAAATGGTTTTTATTGCGTTAAATTCACTTGTTCTCTAACTTTTTAATTCATTCACTACAAATCTCTCACTTTGCATAGTACGCCACATAGTACGCATAGTACGCATTTAATGATTGGATGGTACTCGATGCTAAGCATTCAATATAAGGCGATAAACAAATAAATAATAGGTGTTAGTTCAATATTTGAATGGTACTCAGCGTGTTTATTATCGTAATAAAAATCCCAAAGCTTTAATGCTATGATTTACTGAAATTTTAATTTATCATTTGTTATCAGAATTTTTCATTTTTTATTTTAAGTTCAGCTAATCAGCCTTCATTATCATTTATTATTAAATCAGTTAATCATATATTGAAGTAGCAAAATCAGATCGAAGTCGATCATAAAAACCATATTTGCGAATTAAATTTCTGCTGTCAAAAAGGTGAGATCTAAGCTTTCTTTATAGGTATATGATATTTTGCATTCATTTATGCTTCTCTAATATGCGAGAATTCTGTTCAATTTAATTTCGCAAATTCCATAATTGCAGAATAATTTTATTTTGGATATAATTTCCAAACTTCAGGCATATTTCTAAAATATTTATTAAATGTTTTTTGCTATTGTTATATTATTCGGAATTGCTTTATACTATTTGATAAATGAATTCTTTTTTAAACGATTGACTATTCCAACTCTTTCTGAAAAAACTATACTTATTACCGGTGCAGGTGGAGGTAAGTATAATATGACTTTTTAAATATATCATTTGAATTTAACGATAACCGTTAATTGGCTTAAAAGAAAGCCATATCTGAAATATTTCATACTAAGCATTAAATCGACGAATTTTACAAATTTTAGGATTTGGAAAGGACCTCACAATTAGATGTTTACAAGAAGGCCTGACAGTTTTTGCTGGCTGTCGACGGAGCATAGTAAGTCATTAACTTTTAGAACTAATCATTTAATAGGCATGAAGACATTTATATCAGAATTTAGATAAAAATCTATAAGCAATATTAATCTTCTAAACTAAAAAAAAAGAGATCTTTTGAATTCATGATTACTCTAACTAGAACCTTAAATCTTCTTAAGCTAAAAGAATTATACTAACAATAAAATCTGGTTTGATATCAGACTCTTCCTTATCATATCAGTATATAGTCATGCTAATCTGAATTGATATTGATAACCTTGATTTGGATTTGAATTAAAGAGATCCATTAGATAGAAATTAGCCTAGGTAAAATTATGAAGTCATAAATTTGTGTTTGAATTAATTGCCTACGACCACCATAAACATGCAATGAAGTTAATTAATGGAATTCCGGTTCATCTGGTTTCTATTTAATTATTTTCCTAAGAATTTTATTTTACTTTTCCTATTCCTATAATTTTTTCAAATAGATGCTTCAAGATATTATTTATTTCTTTTACTTTAATATCCTAAAATCTACTTGGTTTATGAATGAAAATTAATTAATTGATTGCGATGATTTTTTCTCGCCATTTCTCGTTAGGCTTATTAGACCAGAGAGAGATCTTAGGCGATAGAAATGCAGCTAAGTCTCCTGGATTTTTGAAATACAGCCCAGCCTTCCAAGGGTAGAACCCTAACATTGGCGCTCTGGAAATAACAGCAGTAACCCACTGAGCCATTCCATCTCAACATAAATGAGATTTGATACTTTATAAGCAATTTTGCCATAATTTCTTAAAAATTTGGACTATTTTATTAATATTTTATTATTTTATCAAAAAGTTTAGATAATAATAAAGATTATAATAGTTAAGAGCGTGAAGGAATTGAACGAGGAATTATGTCAATTTTCCGAACAATTACATGCATTTCAAATGGACGTTTCATCAGATTTAAGTGTAGCAGAAGCAAAAAAATTTGTCTATAAAAAGTTACAGGAATGCAATAAAGGTACTTTGTTATAAATATGCAATTAGAAAAATGGAATAGATTGGGATTTAAAAGATCTTACGAATCTTACGAAAGTGAAGTATAGCAGAATATATATGCATGAATAGGCTTGAGACGTACCAATTAGAACCAATTAGTGCCGGAATTGAGGTGCAACACTTCTGAATCAACGCTATTATAGTTGTCACCAATGAAATATTATAGTGAAAGTATTGAGCGTCAATAATTCTTTTGATAATCTTATCATTTCCTCTCATAAATTATCAACAATCCCTATAATATTCGATTTATACACATAAGCGATTTATAATATATTCGATATAAACTGAAATGAAAAATATTCATTTTTATGATTTTTTGTAGAATTGCATGCAATAGTGAATAATGCTGGCGTAAGAGGTAATCAATTTTACGACGATTTGTTGGTACTCGAGGATTACAAAGAAGTTTGGGAGGTTAATATAATGGGTGGAATTCGAGTTTGTCAAGCATTTAAACAATTAATCAAGAAATCGAAGTTCGTTTCTTTCCTTTATGGTTTTAATAGATATTTTATTAAAAATAAAAGAGGATGGTGAATGAAAAAGAACACATTTGCTAATCAAACTAATCCTAATCCATAGCTCATTTTAATAAATAAGGATGAGAAGAACGGTAGATTAGGCAAGACTCCAACCTGCCGACCTGCTAACTTAATTTCTACATATAATAAAGAAAATTATTTTAAAGAATTTTCAGAAGGCATCAGGATCTGAGAGAGTTTGCGTGGAAGTATAATGTTGAATTAAGTTCTATTCAGATCTGCTCTGATGTTAAATTAAGTACTTAAACTAATTACTGTATTTTAATAGGGCAATACTTTGTTCAAACAACTAGCGCTTACAAATATTGCTAATTTTATTCATTGATATTTGCAGAGGCCGTATAATATTTTGTGGAAGTGGTGCTACAATGTTTCCTATACCGGGATATGGACCATATGCTTCATCTAAAGCAGCAGTTATGACTTATGCCGATGTTTTGCGGTGCTTTTTTTTTCGAATTGGTTGCTACAAATAATTATTCATAACTCACCAATGACTCAATTTTACTATAATTGCTAAAATTATTGGCCAGTAATTATTGGCCATTAGAGACAGTAATTACTTTACTTTGGGTGGTTTATGAGAGAATTATGCACAATATTGCATTTAAAAAAAATTGGTGTTTCGGTTGCTCAGTGACAAGATAATTGAGAATCTTTGGGCTCGAATTTGACCGATGCACCTCACTTCATTGAACGACAGAATCGCCTAATGAAGAAAGAAGAAGGAAATTAGGTAGATCAGTGGGCTATTGCTCAATTCGGAATTGTTGCTGAGGTTCTCCAGACAGGAAGTTCTCCTGTTCTTCCGGGTGGTGCTGGCGATTCGCCCATATTTCTATCGCCAAGTGATTCTCTGTCTAGTCTGACAAGCCAGCGGAGCGAGTCTAACCAGCAGTGGTGAGTGCTCTAAAAATTATTATATGCGCTTTTTTAGTTATATAACATAGGATAGTTATTATTCATTATTCAATTAGTTAATTTATCAGGCATGAACTCAGAGCATATGGTGTTCATATTATTGTTGTACAACCAGGATCCTTTGAAAGCGGCATGCAGAACACTCAGAATTTATTAACAATGATGGATAAAATATGGTCACGATGTCTTCCAGAAATTAAAGAGGAATATGGAGAAGATTTTATAGTGAAAGGTGTGAAATTGCAAAATATTTTTTCTTCTTCTCACTACTGCTGGTTATACCGGCTCCGCTGGTTACAAGGATAAGATTCGGCAAGTTATTCGGTCCGAATGCTATAGTACTAGAAGCCATTTCTTTTTCCATCGTCTAAATCCATATATCGCTGGTCCATCTATATATTTAAAATCTTTTCTGATCGTATCAGTCCAGGTTTTGATTGGACCACCTCGCTTTTGATGCCATTCATCATAAGGTTTATCAAGTAACGAAATTTATATCAACTCCTGTGTGCAAAATATTTGCGAAATTTTAATGCCTTTTGACTAGGTGATTCTTCTTAATCATTCGGAAATCCAGAGTTGGATTCTACTCCCAATAGGAGTAATCATGTCATGAGAAAATCCATGTGATATTGAAGATTTCCTTTTGGATCTTCAAATGACTCTCTGAAAAATTTTTTCACTGTGCTAATAGCCAGTGGAGAGAACCTAACTTGAAATGGTGGGTGCTGACCACTCGTCCCGAAATAACTGAAAAAATTTTTTCATTCAAATATTTCAAAAGAAAGGCTACTATGCTTTTTTTATAATAAAATGCTTAATTTAATTAAGAAATTTCACCAAAATGTGAAAATATGCATCACTTCATCTTTTTCCAACACCATTTTTGATTTGGCAGAACATTAATAACTGGAGAATGAGTCATTTGGAAGGCTATTTCATTAGATTTGCCTGAGCTTGAGAGTAAAAGCATAGTTGGACACCCTGCAGATACCTCGGAAAGATGGACCCAGGTATGTTAAGATATAGGACCAAAAAGAGCACTAATCATGTTGAAAAATTAAATAAATCATAGTGTTTGATTCCAGTTAAAGAAGTTGTGACAAATTTGCAATCAAAGGTAGTTTCGAACAATACCAAATGGGTCGAGGATGCATATTTCCATGCGATATCAGCTAAATATCCAAAATATTTATATCGAATAGGCTGGGACACTATCATATTGTACGTTTTTTTTTTTTTTTTAGAAAAATCAAGTTTTAAAATCTTAATGATAAGTGATAACTGCAATTGCAACCAATGAACCTGATCGTGTTGCGATTCATTTCTTTATTTAGCAGAATTTTTCAATTTATTAAACAGTTCAGATTTTGGCCATTTTCTCTATTACCAGTCAGCTGGCAAGTTCAATGTATGCGGTTGATTTTATTCCTTAATGCATCACCAATGCCCATTGCTGTTAAAAAACTATTTTAATCTTATTTTGCTTTAAATATTTTTTATATTTTATATTAAATTGTGATTAAATCACAATCAAATTTCAATATATTAAAGTTCATTCGTTAAACGATTGTTTATTAATTTTTTAATATTTGAAAAATTTGTCAAAAAAATTTTTTTAAAAATAAAAAATTCTTTGCCTAAACCGTTTCAGAGAAATGCACTAATCAATCAAATATGATTTCATTCAATTTTGCATGATTCAAATCCTTTCATGCTTTTATTCATTTATTTAGAAACTCCAACATTTCTGCAAATATTAGATCGTTACGACCGCAGTTAACTTCATATTGTGCGCTAAATATGCTAATGGACTGGGTGCTTTGATTAAATTCATGCAGCATGGAATCGACAGCTAATGACAGGCTGAGTGTACCACCAATGCGACCACTTTCCGCATCGTTTCCAGTTCTTCCACACTCCGTTATTTCTTTGGCCTCTCAAATTCCTTCTTCCTAATGTCCCTCTCACTTGGTGTTGCTATATGTATCACCACCGCTGTTTTATTGTCTACTGTAACAATATCTCACACGATATACATTACACGTTTAATATTACGAAATGGAAATTTACCAGACTCAGAAATTTATTATATTAAATTAAATTATATTTATTAAATTGCTTTTGCTCAACGTTTTAACGATCAGTGAAATATTTTATAAAGACTATTGTGTGGAAAATATTTGAAAACCTGTTTCGGGCGACATTAAATTAGTCGATATCTGTCTAAAAATTTTCCACATGTCCTCTTATTTATTAGTTTAATTGGTTGAACTTCTTTTTTCATTATCGTATTAACAACAGAGGAAATATTTTACATGAAAATGCATACCAAGAGAATAAAAGTATTGGTTTAGAGAAAATTTGTAACAAAGACTGAAATGAATGTGAATAGTTACTCATTTCTACCCTTAAGTTGCCTCAAACAAATGGTTGCCTCACACTAATGAGCCATTTAAAAAAAATAAATTCGGACTAATATTATTTGAATTTTGTTCCATTTTTGGTTTAGCTCGGTTATCGGATGGTTTCCCAGATCGATGGATTTTGCTAGAAAACCACTTGCCAATAGAAGTGCACGTAGGTCAGCGGTACCTCTCAGATTTTTGAAAGACAGGTTTATTCCGGGCGTAGAACCCCAGCAACACCCCGAAATGAGGGTATTAATTGACCAACTGACAATGATCCAAATAGGTCTTTCGTGACAATTTATTGTATCTTAAAAACTTTGGAAGAAAGAACTAAAACCAAAAATTAACTTATGATTCCCATTGAAATGTCGGTCGTTCTTTTTTAATGAATTTTGCTTATTATATTTCCAATCGTACAAGTTATACCAATTTTTAAGAAATTTAAATGGACTGCCTATTTTTTGCAATTATTTCAATCACAGTTGTTATTTTTTTCATACTTCTACGACTGTATTACATCGACAAAATCCAACTTAATGGTGCTAATGATAAAGCTGTTCTGATAACAGGAAGCAGTTCAGGTACTTTAATCTACTAATATTATAATCTACTAATATTTAGTAACTGGTTTAATAAAATAGCGGCATTCTAGGTTTTGGTAAAGGTATTGTCGAAAAATGCATGAATAACGGTTTCACTGTTTTTGCAGCTTGTCGCACGAAACAAGTACTCTCTTGTTGTTTTCTAAAGAAACTCTTAGCTTCTATCCTGATAATTTTATATATAAGAAATATATAATATAATATAAGAAAAAATAAATAAAGTTGTTTATTGAAGGGTGTGGATCTATTAGAAAAATCATTTGAAGACAAAAACAACAGGTTGAAGGCATTTGTAATGGATATTTCTAATGAGGAACAAGTTGAAAATGCTAGAACATATATTTGCGATGAGCTCGAACTATTGAAAATGGGTAAGTTTACTCTCGTTTGCGCTAAAAATGCTTTATTTCGCCATGCCACTTTCAATAAAAGTGATGGATGCTTTTTTCGAAGCTTCCTGGATTAGCTCGGATTTTCAAAAACTTGCATGCATTTCATTTTGCTTATAGATTTGCATGCAGTAGTGAATAATGCTGGAATACAAGCAACATGTTTTTATGATGACATGCTAGACATTGCTGATTATGAACAAGCTATGAATGTAAATTTCTATGGGACGATTCGAGTGATTAAGGCTTTTAAAGAGATTATCAAAAAATCTAGGTAAACAGTGATTTTACTAATTGCTAGTAAATTTTACTTATGCTAGCCTTAATAGGTTTCTTCTATAACATTGCTTCCAAAAGTCTAACCGGAGGATTTTTAAATTTCCCTTCCCGAGGCCTTTTCAGAGATACCAAAACCATTTCAATTCTATTGTTTTATGTGGCTTAGATTTAGACTTTAGTATATTGTGTGAATTTTCTTAAATGAAGATTTTCTTTAAAAAAAGAAACTTCAAATGATTTCATAAATAAATTTCCCGATTATATTTCTAATATAGCCAATATCGAGAGGAACAACTAAGGATCGCATAAAGAAAGGTCCTCTGGGCAATCCCAGAGCAAGTCTGGACGATTGGGTCCAATGATTTATAAATGAATATTTCTAACGATAAAGACTAATATTTTGACGGAATTTAGTATAAAAATGACTTTTAATAGTTTTTTTATATAAAAACTTTTCGTAGAAATTGTAAGTGCCAAATTTGCAATTACTTTACCACTAAAATTTAAAAATCAAGCCTTAGATTTTTAAGCGAAAAATGAGAATTAATCCATTTTGCTTTCTAATATCTAATGAATCTTGCAAATTATTTCAGAGGTCGATTAATAGTATGTACGAGTTCATGTGTACGATTTGCTTCACCTGGTTTAGGACCTTACACTGCTTCAAAATGGGCACTCTCAGGCTACAGTGAAACAATTAGGTATTTGAAATATATTCTATATATATTTATTCTAAAACCATAAGAATGGTGAATTTAAATTTCCGAAATATTATGCTAAATCCAACAAAGTACAGGCATGAATTAATAGGTTTACTTATAGGCATGAATTAATAGATTTTGGTGTCGATGTTATTACAATAGAGCCTGGAATTTTTTGTACATCAATGAATGAAGTGAAGAAAATGATGAAAATGATGAATGAAATTTGGGCAAAAACTGATAAAAACCTAAAGAAACAATATGGCCAATATTGTTTCAATTATGGTAAGGAACTGATCCATTTGATTCAACTGATTCAACTGATCCATTTTATTTTTTATATATTTTAAGAATCCTCACTATTACTGGTTAAACTCGCTCCATTGGCCTGTCGCATTGGGAAATATGCCAGGGAGTCCCTTGGTAGATAGACAGAAATACAAGTGAGTCACCCGGATTTTTGTACAGGTTTATTCCTGCTGAAACTCAGCATCGCCGCTCCCAATATATATATATTTTTTTTATAGGAAGGGCGCGACATTAGGATAACGAATATTTTGTTTAAAACTAGAAAAGTCTAACTAAAAATTTAGGCAAACGCTTCTACATTAAATTGCGAGAAGGCGCTCCTGTTGATCTTACACCTGTAATTAACGCTTATTATCATGCAATAACAGCAAAATATCCTTATAAAAATTATTGTATTGGCGTTGATGCTGTTTATATGTAAGTAATTCGTTATTATAAAAATCACCAATTATCTTCCGATCCCCCGATAAGCGGCCTTCATCCTCTTTTTCATAAGTAAGCAATTGTTAAAGTTAAAATTTGATCGAAAAATATCTTTTTGTCCTAGAAAAAAATTCCGACTAAGAATTTAACGAATATTTTAAGACAAGAAACTTTGCTAATTGATATTAGACCAAAATAAATTTGAATAATTCAATTTAAATTCAAATTTAAACGTAATTTGAAAAATTATAAATCAAATTCGATATTGCTCGTCCAGATGAAAAATAGACGAGATAAAAAATTCCTAGAAGAAAAATATCAAAAATCAAAATATTCAGATATCGCCCATTCTCATGGTTATGCGCAAGGATGCAAGAGATCGTAATGCAATGGATTATTTGGATAATGGGTGCACCTAAACCTGATATTGTTGAATGAAATATTTTTTCGCGTTTTATTATCTTAGTATATAAATATATATATATATATTATTGAACTATTGTAGCCATATGCTATATGGTCAACTAGTATAATTAACCAATTTTTTAATAGCCAAATTTCTAAATTATTTTTTCTTCACCCCTTAATAGAGGTTGCACAAACAGGATTAAACTTGCCTAAAAACCCAAAAACCCGGGTGATGTTGGCAACTTACCTGTACTTCTATCGGATATTTATCTAGTGCGATAAGCCAAAATTTATCACAAGCTATTTTCATAAACGATAAATAATGGACTAATAAAAGATAAGATAAAGGACAATTCACAAATAGCATTGAAATATTCTTCAATAAATGTAAGATTCTGCTACCTGCAAAATTAAAAACTTTTTACTTTAATTTAACAACAGAACAGTAGGTATCAAAAATTATAAAAATTCTTCGAATGAACTTACCTACGAAGACGAATTAAATCTTCAATGCTTGCTGGAAGAAATGTCACTGGACATTTCTTATGTTCCAAGATATACCGATTAATGCAAAAATAGCAAAAAACATAACCAGAAACGCTTAGCACCTAAAGAATTTTAAATGAATGAGATTTTCCGGCTTCCAACATCACAAAAAAATTAAGCTAAAATAACGTTCTCTTTTATTTCATTTTTTTTTAAATTTTGAAAAGAATTCTTCTATTTAGTATGATAAATGATATTGTAGATTACTTACTGTATCATTCTGACGTTTTCCCTTACAAACTGGACATTTTTCCGGACCTAATTCAACAATTTTTCGTTCTCTGAAGATCTGGAACAGAAACACTTTAGATAAATCTTGGAATATATATTTTAGATAAACATTTAGGAGAGGATCTCTATAAATTATGTAATTTTATTAACAATGATTTGTTAATAAAAATTGGCTCTCACTCTGTACGGTGCAGGTGGAACAATAAATCGATCAGTCTTAGCAGTGATGCTTGGTCCCATAGTACGCCAGTATTCAAGGAATTCCAGAAAGAAAAGTCCAAATCCTAATAATCGACTAATATAGAAAAATAATCGAATAAATATCCTCCAGATAACATCAAAAATCCTGCAAACAAGGTATATTTCACCAAAGCGTTAATATAAATGAACTGGATGCAATTACTCGATTTCACTTCTAATTACAAGCTCATCCTGTTAAGAGAAAGGAATCGAACTGCTTGCTGCCGACTGAAGCGTTGCCCATTTGATATTTTCTTCACTAATGAAAACGAATTAACTTGAGCAAATTTAACTTCCAATTTTTGAAAGAATAAAACTGATAGCAGACTAACCCATAATTATCATTTGAAGTCAAATTATTAAGAACTGCTAGTTCACTAGTGGATAATTTCTTTAGTCGAACGCCGGTTATTTTTAATAAAGGGGAATGAACATCGCTTCTTGAAAGAATATAACTGAATCGCATAAATAAGCAAAGAAAAACATAGAAAGATTTGCAAACGGAATAAGAACATGAAAAATATCGGTTTATATCAGCAAAATTGATCATCAACTGCAAACGTTTTTAAAATTTTAAAAGAAATAAAATAATAAAATAAATAAGCAATCAATTTAACAAGCGTTATCCATGCAAAATAAACAAAATATAAGTCAAAATTTTAATTTAAATTTTAAAATTAATTATAAAATTGTTAATTTAATTGTAAAAATATTCAAAAGGTTGATTTAATAACATTGCAACCAATCAATACTATTAATAATCAGAATATTAATCATTTAAATTATGAATTAATTGTAAAATTATAATTTTGAATTATAAAAATCAGGACAGAGACTTTAAATTCTAAGCACGACTTGAAAGAAGGATAGAAAAAGGAGTCCCAGTTAATTTTCCAAATAGGATCAAAAGGATTTGAAAAGCTACACGTCAAGTGGAACAAGATGAACAAAATGAGAGATGTTTAAAAAAATTATTAAAATTAATTTTAACGAAAATTATTGAAAAAGAGTAATTGGAAAAAAAATCAACCATTTGATTTAACTGTAACAATATAGGACTTCCATTTTTTTGCAAATTTTTCAGCTTCTTTAGTGCGTATGGTAAAATTACCTTTAAAAAAAGAATTTAAAAATTAAGAATTAAGTCCAAAAAATTATAATTTTATAAATTATAAATAAATAAATTTTATAAATTATAAAAAAAGCTATCAAAAATATAAAATCATCAATATAATTAAGCAATTATTATAAGTTTTATGAGAATTGAAATACCATAAGAAAGATTGAACGAAGCCATGGTAATTTGGTATTCCTCTTCAAATCGCTATCATAATATGGGACTCTTTTCAATCCATAAAAATATTCTGTAAACGTCGCCTCTAAAAATATTTATCAGAAAAATCATTTAGTAAAAATTTAGATTCATTCTCTATTTTTCTGCCTACTTCAACGAATATTTTATTTAAATATTTTTTTCTCATAATATAAATAATACTTTAAAAAATAATCTGGCTGGGTATAAGCCATGAGACTGATATTAATAAATTGATCTCAAACAAAGATGAAGAATAAAACAAAAAAACGATAAAGATGAAAAAATATTATAGAAACTATACACGTATATGATAATGAAATATATAAACGCAACATGATGAAAATAAAATATAGAAAAAAAGCTTGAATAAAGTTGGTTGATACGACTTTATTATTGTATTAAATAATCGTAGATAATTCTATTCAACTTATTTTTATAATATCAATGGTGAAAAATAATAATAGGAGGCACCCTGGTCGAACAGTTAGTGATATGGGTGAAAACTGGAAAAATTTATGAATTTTCAGGCCATTACCTCTCATGTACTCAAGGAAAGACCATAAAACTTAACAGAACCTGAACCAATACGACCAAACAATAATAATTTCATAAACGACGTTTAATTTTCCATGAATCCAAACCATACAATATAATAGACTATTCCAAATGACCTGGCAGGGTTCCAGTGAGTAAACAAAGAAATTTAAGAATACCATAAGACTGGGAACAATTTAAGAATCCAAATACTCAAATCTAAAACAAGACAGTCAAATACCATTGAAAAAACGAACCGTACTGCCGTAAATGAAAACCCTGCAACAAAAGTTCGAAAAGAAAAAACCAATCTTCGAAATTTCGATTGAATGTTCTCAATGACCGATGCCAAGTTCCAATTGACTGGAAAATTTTAAAAATAAAGTGCTTAAACTGGATGCGTAAGTGCTTAAATCATCAAAAAAACTGGAAATTTTAATATCAAATGAACTAATATATAATATATCTAGAAAGAAGAACAAACGGAATCCCAAGAACAAACTTGGCTATATCCTTTGACTCAAAACTCACCTAACTTTCTCTTCTCATATACTGCTCCCCACATTAGTACTGCCCTCTACATTATTCTCAAATCTAACAAATTCCATTATATTTCCTTGAAAACAATACTCTCCTCTCCTATTATATTATACTCTCGATTCCCCAATCATGTAATTTAAATTTTATAAGCTGTAGTTGCGACTGCAACAAAAATGCATGCAGTCAAAGGGCTCAAGTGGTAGAAGGAGAATTAAAATTACTAAGCAAAAATAGAGTTTCAAAAGCTATCTACATGGTTCTACGGCAAAACAGACAGACTTTGAGGGATTTTGGGGCATTCATAAGATTTCCATCGTGAAGAACCGAGATTTCGCAGCTTGAAGTGGCTGCCCAAGCATTCTCGCTAATATTTTTCTGCAAATGCGCTGCCAGCAGTGCCAATTTTCGAGAAACACCTGCTTGAGTGGAACTTCAGCATCAGTTCTTCGACCGAAGCATTCACTGAGCCATTCTAACGCTCTTGCAAAGTAATTTTTGATTAAAATGAGTAAATAAAATGAAAGAAAAACAAACTTTGATAAATTTTTTAATCGCTGCCTTGATAGAATTCGAAAGATTTTCTTCACAAATAATTTCGAATATTGAAGGTTGTTTTAGGAAAAATTCACAGTCCATTTAGTTTTAATTATTTTATTTTTATTAATTTAATTAAATCAACTATAAAAATAAATAAAAATAAAAATCTAAACAGGAAATTTAAACAAATTAAGTCGACTCCCCGCACACCCCCTCGTCCACCCCACCGCTTCAGTTTTCCTCAAAATCAAATCAGATCAAAAAAAGCCACCTGAAAGATTATGTTGCAAAAATTGTGGCCCCACACCGAGAGTCGAGGAGACACGGCCCCAGAAAAATTTGCTTGATTGCGGTGTGGAACGAGAAATGAGCAATTTTCACGCAAGGACGATTACTAAACAAGTGATTATTCAAAGCAATAATTTATTATTTTCATTTTTATGCAAAAAACTGCCTTTCCTTCCTCCGAATCGTTAATGCGAGGAATATTCCTTTGTTACGTGGCTCACCATTTCCGGTTAGGCCCGTTCCGCTGGTTTGTCAGACCAGACAAGTTTCCTTATTTGGCGAGGGGAACAGTCGGCTCTTTGAAAGGCAAGTTTATTCCTGCCGAGAAGAGTGAAACGCCAGCAGCGACATTTCGAAAACGCTCCGAGGAATATCGCGAAATGTTTTTGTAAACAATAATAGTGCAAATAATAGCCAAATAAATGCAAATAACAAAATTAAAAAGTATATTTTTCAACATTAAATCGAGCAGCTTATTGATTGGAATAGAGGAAAACAAGTTGAGTTCGGTTGGTACTTTTGGTACTTCTTAAGTCGCCAAACAGTTTCGAAAATTCGCTCGCTACTTTCCAGCCTAAAATAAAGCATTCGTGAAATATAAGAAATTTTCAGTAAAAATCAGAAAACACAAATTCTTTTGCAGAAATTTCGATGATATTTCGATGAACGAACCGGTTTGATAGAATTTTTGACTTTGGAAAATCTTTTCGAAAAGTTTTATCTGAATATTTGGCGGTTACTGTAAAAGGCTATGGAAAAAGGCATAAATTTTTGTGCCGTTTTGTGCAGTCTGAAAATGCAATCCAGCTTTAATGGCATTAATCAGCTTAATCCACCTAAGAAGACAGGTAATATACTATTGAATAACCGAAAGAAGTTATTTCCAAACTGAATACCACTGTTGCTCCTTCTCATAACATTTTAATTGGCTCCAATGACGAGTACTGGATGAGAGTCATTCAGGAGAGTATGGATAGACTTCCCACAGCAGGCAGCTCACACAGGCGTTTATCCAGAAAGAAAGATGGTACTCATGCTGCTTGCTGCAAAATCCAACTCAACCAATGCTTTTCCATCATATTTCAGGTTAATATTTTGCACATATATAGGATTGCATATGTTCGATTTTCTTCATATCTATTTACTAAAAATATATTCATTAGAAATAACAATTAGCGGAAATCATGCAATTATTTCCAATATTTACTCCTGCAAAGAGTGTTGGCGCTTCGAAATGAAACCATTAACTCGCTGAACTATTTTGCTATTCCTATTCCTAGTATTCATCTCTTAATTAAGTAGTGTAGTGAATTTTCTTCCTCGCGTTCATCCATGCAAACTATTTCTTCATGCAGCCATGAACAACACAATAGAATAATCTCGAACAAAAAATATATAAGAGAAAATTCATTCATACATTCATTCATAGTTCTATAGAGATTTCAGTCTATTATAATCATAGGATCCATTTTATACAATTCTTTTCCACTAACTAATGCACTGAAATTCCCTTCAGGGCCATTGCCCTTTTAGATAATTGACGGATGGTTGGATGAACCGCAGTAATTTTCATTTAAACAACCATTCACAATCACCAATTTGTATTTCTTTTCGCGAAATTTGTTTCTATTTTTTTTCGGATTATCTTTTTGTTTTTTTAAATATTTTTTCTTATTATTTATTAAATTGTCGATCAGTTTTAATCATTAATTCTTTTTTAAATGAAAATTAATTATTTTACAAAATTAATTTTTTAAAGATTTCTTTATCGTAAATTTTAAATTAAAAATGCTTCTTTAATTATAAAAGAATTAAGAAATAAGGTAATTGATATTGTTCGGATAGAATGGATAGGTTGTCAATAGGTTGTCGCTCTGGTTTTGAAGCGCCAATGTTGGAGTTCCACTTCCAGAAGTGTCCT